TGAACATAAGGAAGGGACCCGCGTAAGGTAAGCACGCCCACAGGGAGCCGGACTTGAGTGCAAGGTTTTTGACTAATTATGGCGCTGCCAACCACCTGGGTGGGTATTGCAACCATTGAAACTCACCGCCGCAAGGGCAAAAGGTGACCCTATATTCGGGCTTGTGTTTTTGGGCGCCAACATTTAGGGGGAAATGATTCTGACGGCGAGGCAAGCCTAGGATCCTATAATCCTTTTGGATATGGGTCCCTTTCGGGACTGAACGATCATTTGGGAGATTCCCGCATGGGGCAGGTCCCGCCACATCCCAACTAGTCCTCTTTTTTTGTGGGACGCCAAAAGATTATGTTACAGCAAGCAATGGTCAGCGCACGGCTCCTTGAGGCTCCCTTGGGGTAACGCCATTGCTAATGGACGGGTTCATGCCACCTTCAGCCTTTGAAATAATTTCAACATGGCTCACCCGGCGGACAATGGAATGAGGAGGCCAAACAAGCCACTCTGTAGAGGATGTATGCTTCGGTTCTCCCTGGGGTAGTGGCTTGTGGGTAGACACCATCTTCGAATGATGCGTGATAGCTACTCGGTAGGTTATAACCATGGCAAGGGGCTTAATTTCAGGTGCAGGTATATCTTTTGAGAAGATGGGTGGGTCACAAACACAACTATGTAAATCCCTCAACCACCTTCTCCTCTAGATTAGGACCATTCAGTGCCCACTTACAAGGGGAGCCACCCGGAAGATGGTCCAATAAATGGCCACTCATAGTCACTAATAGGCACTATTAGGAGCGGCTCCCGTTGCTATGGCTCTGAATCATGATCTGCGTGAGGCCAGCGTGCCGAAATGGGCGGGACATCCGGTCGTTGGACATATTTTCCCTTGAAACAAACCCACCCAAGCGCCGTGGCCGCCATTGCCGTGGCCGCCGTTGAGGTGAGGATGGAGGTGACAGAGGGACGGGACAAGTGGCTGTCCACCGGCTGCTACCTCGCTCCCGGGCACCGCCTGACCGTGACGCGTGTGGGAGGTGAGGGCTCGATTGAGGTGCAGGCGGGGGGAGGGGGGTGAGGAGGGGAGAAGCGGGTGAAGGTCTAAAGCGCAAAGCAAAACAGATGAGACTGGAAATGGGGAGTGTAAAGGGGCGCAGTAACCAGAATACATATCCGATACACGTCCCATTGTACAATGTATGGCAAAGCTTCGCAAGGAGCGCAAGGTGGTTTTGCGAATCACGATAGTCTGACTGCATGTGATTCCAGCGTCTAAGCCCAAAGAAAAACATAAACGGGGGAGGGCTGTGCCACGGACACTGGAGGGGTTGGTGTGGGTACGTGTCGGCTTCGGCTTTACTTTTGGATTCCTTTACACCAAGGTGAAATGGGTACCCACCCAACCCCTCAAGACCCAATATACACTGAAGAGGGTACGTAGTTCAATGTCCGCCACACGGTCCCCTCCTTCATCTTGCTTTGATTTAATGAAGAATTCCCGAAACCACAAAATCCAAATCCTTCCCACAGTGAAGTGGTCTATTTTGCGTAGCCACCCTTTTTTCTGGGCATTGGGTTTTTAGTGTTTTGGGTTGGACAGTTTGTGCGTTCTCTGAGCCAAAAACCCATCCTTTCCTGCTTTTGGAGAATATGAAGCTAAAGGCGAACAACAAGTTGAACCTCCAAAGATTGGGGTGTCGAATCAGTCAGTAAATACGGGGTAGGTGACCTGCAGGGTATCCTGGAAGGCGTAGCCCCATATGCCTTCGACTATACTCAAGGAGGCCAATTCAGCCAAGGTTATTTTCAAGGAGCCGGGTGCCATATGGCCACATGCAGGGTTCCAGGGCACGCCTCATGCACTCATGCAGGTGTTTCGTCAGGGTTCACCAATCCAAGAGTTCAGGCTGTCTGTCCTGTAGCCCTGCCCTCCATGCAGTCGGCCAAACATCACCTTGTTAAGGCCACCGAGTTTTCAAACGTAATGGGGTGATGTTTGCGGCGGGGGGGGAGCCGAGTCCCATTGGCAATTTCATGCTGGAGGATCGGGTTTGAGAACCACTGGCTGTGATACCAAGGGAACCGCCTTCAAAGACCTTGGGATGGCCCATGTTGTCATGGGGCCACCTTGTTAGAACCAAGCGTCAAAGGCTTTTGTGTTCTTGCTCACTCGAGTCACGGATATCCATCAAGGAGGGGCCAGATTGAGATGGCAAGACGAGCCGACCAATTGCCGAGTTCAACTCGAGCCTTCACGCTCGCTGAGAGGATGCATGGCCAGGTTGCACAGCACATTTTCCGGGCTTTTAGACTTCCGGAGCCCTGTTTCAGGAAGACAGGCCATGGGCCGTGCGCCGGTTTCCAGACCAACCAATTGAAAAGGGACTGTGCGCCGGCAAGCGTTTTGCATTTTCGACTCTCCAGCAGGGGGACGATGAAAGGCCATGCAGAAACGCACTAACTGGGCTGTTCAGAGGCAATCCTGAGGGCTTTGCAGTGGCCAACACTCCTTTTTGAACAGCCCAGTCTGAGGGGAACGGTCAGCAGCCAAACAGCCAGATTTATTTGGGACAGATAGGCTGGCTCGAGACTGTGAAGGGGGGGGGGCTCTGAATGTTGCTTAGGTCGGCTGCCACACTGACAGCGTCTCCAAGCTGGAGAGGTGCGGGTTGCCATGTGAACAATTCTAGAGGCCCTTCTCAAAGAAGGGCATATTCAAACCACCAACGTTGGAGCAATGTCGCGTTGTTCCCATTTATCAGGAATAGTATTGTTGTGAAACATTAGCACATCAGCCCCCACAAGAGGTCCTTTGACAAAGAAACGCAAAGCAACATCATTCAGCAAATTGATGCCCAGCCATGTTTCAGGCACTCCTCACTTGAGCTGACAAAATGGCTGGCAGTCTATTGTTCGTTTTGGGAGGGCATGGGGTGCACCAAGTTTCCCAAAGGCCACGTCCACTTGACGTGGCTCCCGGGTGAATTCCGCGGGCCATGTGCCGCAACTCTGGGCCAGCGGCATTGGGTTCGTCAGGAACCTTGCCGTTGGGTTCGTCAGGGTGCCCAGAGTTTTCGAGGATCCCAATTTTCCGGCTCAGCAGTATGCCAATTTTCCAGTTGCCATTTTGGAAGGGGCTTCTACCTGGTTTAACAGACAAGCCAAAAGACAGGGGCCAGATAGCGTGGGTCTCCCTCGGCAAATCGACAAACATATGAGATTCCGATGACTGTGGTCTATGGCTCATTTGCGAGGGACCTAAAAAGGCTCATCAAATTTCAAAGGGCACACACACACACACATTGTTCCTTGTCCTTCACAGTTGGGTGAAAGTAGATGGCATCATTCCCCCATCTGGGCTTAGTCATGGTTTTTACCCACCCCAAGAACCATCTACGTTCGCTTTCTGTGATATCAGCAGGACTCCCCGTGAGTGATAAAGCAGTCAAGACCGTCATGCATTGGGATGGCGTCCGTTGTGGCCGAACAGGAAATATTCTGGGGACTTTCCCAACACTATTTTATATCTTAGGGCAGGCTGAGTATGAGCCAGCATCATTTTTTTTTTTGAAGTACCTCAGATGCCACTTTGGCCATTTTCCCAAGTTGGCACCGGCTGCCGCGGGTGGTCAAGAAGTCGCGGCTGAAGAAGCAGGACAATTCGATCTCCCTCTTTTCGGCCCTGGGCGGCATGGTGTGCCTCAGCCTGCCAGGGCTTCTTTTGTTTTGATGGAATACTCTGTTTTTGTTTCTTCCGTTTTTTTTCCCCTTCTGCGGAGATGTTTGTGGTTGGCAAAATTCCAACTGGGCTTTTGTGGGAATTTGGAATTTGAGTGCGCCAATTCCCTTTGTCCCATGTCCCCTAACCTGCAATAGACTGCCAGTCATTTTGTCAGTTCAATTGAGGGAACCGAGAAATATGTCTGGGCAATTGACTCTAGCCCCCTGTAGATTTTTGTGGAACCCAACAACCCATCATTGCGTTCATGTCCATTTGCGGGGTACCTCTTTGACATAGTTCTTGATGCGGCCCAACTCCATCAACATTTTGTTCTGCTTCTGGAGCTCCTTGATGGTTACCGCCCCTTGATGGTTACCGCCATGGCTGAGATCGGCCCATGGCAATCCAAAATTGGTTGGGTTTCTGAATGGTTTCCCTCAACATGCATCCCCTTCGGGGCCATTGCCCTTTAAGCTGACTTTCAACAATACTTGCATGCGAGAAACTCGCTCCATTTTCGGACGGAGCAAGACCGCAAGACTACCTGCATGATGAACTCACCTCATGTTTGGATTGACCAAGAATCCACCGAGACTGATCCATGTTGCAATGTGATGCGCAACTCTTTGGTCTGCCGATACATCACGCCGCAAGCACTGCAACTACTTGCAGCATGCATCAAACACTGTTTTTGTTTTTGCAGGGGGTGCGTGGGTGGGGGGATGGGGGTGTGCCATATGCTACCAAATCTGCAATGCCCATTTTTCCAGCAGCACCACCTTGGTATTCGAGGCGGGGGGGGGAGGGCTACCATATGTGTAGAGATTTATGGATGGGTGGGTGGATGGATGGGTGGGTGGGTGGGTGGACGGTCGGCCGGCCGGCCGGTCGGTCGGTCGGTCGGTCGGTCGGTCGGAATATATTAGGTATACAAGTCACGTAGATAGTTCATGAGAATTCGATGGATGCATGATGCATAGATGGATAGATGGATAGATGGATAGTTGAAACATACAGACGTACAGACAAGGAGACAGGCAGATAGACAGACAGATGACCGATCGACAGGCTCACAGATGGACAGACAGATAGATGGACAGGTAGACAGATGTACTGATAGACAGAAGACAGATAGATAGACAAGCATATATTCAGACAGACTGATAAAATTTGACGTCAAACTGCCAGATAAGCAGCTAGAAAGACAAAAGACATACCGATGTGCGTTCGATGGCGTTTCACATGTCATTGCAATGACCTATCCGTTTGCTTGCGATTTTCGCGGTTCAAGTGCAAGTATGCCCGGGTGGCAATGACCGCAAACAAATCCGAACGCCAGCACTGGATTGTGATAGGTTGTCTTTCCTTCGCATGACATTTGGGGTCTTCTGGACAGGTTGGCAGTTTTCAGCCGCATCCATGTTCTCATTCCGGCGCGGCAGTGCTGGACAGCTTGCCCTAGCCAGTCCCCTATTGCCCTAGCCAGTCCCCTAAAGGGGACCCCAAATGAGTGGATGCTTGCACAATAGTGGTTCAAGCCGCTCAAAAGGCGCTTTGGCGAGCCCTGGATGGTGTGTCCTGCGAGCCCTCGCCTTCTTTGGCTGGAATGGAAGCCAAAAATACACCCATTTTCTGGTCGCCTAAGCCAGGATCTGGTTTCGACGTGCTTTTTCCATTCACGGCTCGCACCCGAATCAAACATATTGACAACAGCCTTTACGCCTTGTACGCCTCCCAGGCACAGTTTTTTTTTGGTTATATAATAGTATATATATATATATTATAATAATATATATATATATATATATATGTATATATATATATATATACTTTTTTTCTCCGGTGCCTCTCCATTTCAGGTATCTCCTGCCGGAGGAGGGCTCCGCAACGGTGCAGCTGAGCTCCGACGCGGGCCTGGCCAAGGCGCTGTGCTTCGACGTGGAGAATCCCATGCCCGCGCCGGAGTGGGACTTCAGGCGTGGGGAAGAATCTTCGGAGCGATTTTTTTTCTTTTTCCGGGCCTTTGGCCCAAAGCTTCGGACCCGAAAAATCTGCACCAGCTCGCGGGACAGAGATCTACGTCCCCCAGCTAGGTGCCCTTTTACCGTTTCTGTTTTGGGAGAGGGTTTCCTCACTAGAATGGACTACAGAAAGAAGTTGGTACCCTTATTCTAACCTCTCTACTGGAGGAGTTGGCCCAAACATGGTTGTTGTTGGGGGTTTCATTTTACACTCTTGCTTATTGTGGTTTAGTGGGAAATCCCCACTCAACATTTTTTTTTTTTTTTTTTTTTTTTTTTTTTTTTTTAAACATTTTACATGTTTGCTTATTGTGGGTTTAGTGGCGGCTAAAATTTGATGTCTTGCTCCCCGTCCAACGTCAACAAAGAAAATCTTCGGACCCGGACCTGCACTGGCAGCTCGCGGAAGAGACAAAGTTCCCAAACCCCACTTCATGGACATTTGGCTGGATCTTTGGGACTTGGACTTTTTGAGAAGCTGCGGATTTTTCCGTGGGACCCACAAGAAGCTAGACTTTTTGCAGAGCTGTCAACACCACCACCAAGTAAAGGAGGAATCACTCCCAAGTTAGCACCCCAGCACAAATGGAATACGGGCTTCCTTTCCAGGGTCGGGACCTATGTGCTTCTAGCTCAGGGTAACCCCGACTTTAGTCCGTTGGTCCTGGATCTATGGGCAGCTTCTTTGAACTACCTTCAAGTCTACCCCCCCCCCCAAAGAAAAAAAAAATGGGGGGGAAACAAACAAACAAACAATCAAACACACACACACACAAAAAGACGAGGTAGCATCAGCAACAAGGTGCCATCAAGAACAGGTACCCTCAACAAAGAGGTTTCATCAAGCACTACAGTCCAAAAATGGGGCCCTGAAAAGAGAGCCTTCAGCAACGGTTTGCTCAAAAGAAGCTTCCTCAAACAGGCGATACACACACACACATCCACGCGCACACACGCATTTTTTTCCCTTGGCTCGCCTTCGTTCTATTGCGTTCCGCTTTGCGTTCAGGAGGCAGCAGCCTCAGGCGCCCTGGAGCGAGCTGATTTGCCGGAACGTGATCTTCGTAATGCCCAGCTCCTACATCTGCGAAGTGGAGGCATGGGGCGGGGGACAAATGTGACATCCATGTGCAGGTTCCCTGCTCTGTCCATGGTTCGTCCAAAGCTTGTGACCCTTGTTGGTATCCCCTTTTTCATGATTTTCGGAGTAAGCTACCCAGTAAAGCCGGCGAAGCCAGTTGGGGGAAGTTTCAAACATGTAAGAGCTATAATGATCTGTATGCTTCTCTTTTTCTCTTTCTCTTTTTTCTCTTTGTCCGTCTCTGTTTCTTTTCCTCATTCGCTTTCTCTTTCTTCTTATCTTTTTCTATCTATCTGACTGTCTATCTGACTGTCTGTCTGCCTGCCTGCCTGCCTGCCTGCCTGCCTGTCCATCGTATGTTTATGTACCTATCTATCTATCTACCTATCTACCTATCTACCTATCTACCTATCTACCTATCTACCTATCTACCTATCTACCTATCTACCTATCTACCTATCTACCTATCTACCTATCTACCTATCTACCTATCTACCTATCTACCTATCTACCTATGTACCTATGTACCTATCTACCTATTACCTACCTACCTACCTGTCTACCTACCTACCTGTCTACCTATCTACCTATCTACCTATCTACCTATGTACCTGTCTACCTGTCTACCTGTCTACCTGTCTGTCTACCTGTCTACCTGTCTGTTTTGTCTGTCTGTCTGTCCGTCCGTCCGTCCGTCCGTCTGTCCTGTCTGTCTGTCTGTCTGTCTGTCAGTCTGTAATCTGTTTGTCTATCTGTCGATTCATCTATTTACATATCTACATATCCAATATTGTCTGATCTGAATCCAATCTAATCTATCTACCTGTCTATCTTTCTGTCTATCTATCTGTCTGTCTATCTGTCTATCTATCTGTCAATCTATCTGTCAATCTAATTTATCCTGATAGAATCTAATCCAATCCAATCCAATCTAATATCTCTATCTATCTGGATCTAGCTATTTGCCATTCAACAAATCTACCTATCCAGGAGCTTTCTGTGCATTGATTCAACTCCAGTGCTGAGAGTGCTGCGCCTGCCACGAAACCTGCACCTGACCGCGCGAAAGTGCTGCGCCTGCCGTGCAATCTGTACCTGAGGCTGTGCCCCTGCCACGAAATTGCATGTGACAGTTCGCACGTTCGCGCCCGTGCCAGTGGTCCCGGGTGAAAGCCCGTTCAGCAAAACAGCTCCGACCCCCCTCAGAGCGTACCACCACCGACGTATCTTTCAGCAATCCGGAGACTCAAACACCCGCAGATGGTTACCCCTTTTTCGCGTTTGTTCTTTTTTCATCTTATCTTTGCACATGCCTACCTTTTAACTAGTGTCCGCTACACGTAAGTTCCTTCAAATCTTACTCTTTTTTTAATAGATAAACACATAAAGTAAAGTCCCCGCAACACCATCCTGCCTCTTTTCCCTGCAACAGTCATGGCTGACAAGAAAGGTTTTGGGACCTTTTCCTTCCGTTGGACGCGACGCATCGACGCATCTGCGCCTTGGCGGCTTGCTTTCGCCGAGGGCAAGGACCTGGTGGAGCTCTGCGGCTTTTGGGACGCAGTGCTGGAGGCCCACTTCGCGCTGGCGGGGAAGCGGAAGCGCCGGTTCCGCGCGGTGGTGGACAAGGCGGTCCCGCTGGGGGGCCGCGCGAAAGGGGCCGAGGGGATCCCGGATCGGGGCTGAGGCGTGTCGTGCTGGGGCTGAAGCCTGTTTGAGGCTTGGGAGAAAACGAAGCCATGGGCGGATCTATAAGACATGGGAGGCCCAAAATGATGGGCTTCCTTGCAAAGCGCCACCGATTTGGGGCCTGTTCCCAAAGCTTGCTTTTGGGTCCCGGCTCCTGGAAAAGGCCAGCAACTGCATAGGTTTTCGGGGTATGGTTGTGGAAAGCCGGGTTTTTAGGTTGCCATTTTCTGGCGATGCCTTACATTGACAAAGTAGTGAGACGGCCCACCAAATTTGGGGGGGATGTGCTTGTGGAAAGTGGGGTTGTTGCCATGTTCTGTGAGTTTACATTTCTCACTGGAACATGTAGAAACTGATGAGTAAGCCGACATGTATGTTTCCCGCGGCTAAGCTCCAAATGGAACTCTGGAGCCTACTTCTGGGATGTCCCCCCTCCAATTGCGATGGGGCAAAATGTGGGATGTATCAGGGGTGTATCTTGCTTTTCGAGGACAAGGACATCCACAGGAATTGGTCATCTATTTTATCGCAAAAAAACGAGCAAATGAGCAAATGTTGAGGTTTCCTATTGTCTTCCCATAGGGGGACCGCTAGTCAAATGGTGGTTCTCCTTTTGCCGTCCTTTTCAAGGTGAGGAGGGCACTCTCAAAGCCAGGGCAATTCCTTCATTTGGCGGGAAGGTTCCAGCAGGGTTGCAAAACTTGTGTGAACCAGCAGTCCCTGACCACAGTTCTGGGGAACTAAAGGAGGTTGTTTCAACAGTGGGTCTGTTTAAGCCAAGGTTTAAACAAAGTTTGACCCGGCCAGCCCTGGAGGCCATTAGCGGCTCGGTCAACGAATGCCGGGACTTGGGCGCGTTTTTTTTCTGGTGAGGAGAAGGAATCGGGACGTGGGTTGGAGGCGCGTGAATCCGGATGGAGGTGTTTCCCTTGCTTGAGGCACCCAGCTTGGGTTTTCCTGAGCCAAGTGGAAAGCTTGGATCCGGGAAGAATCAGCTGGGTTGGTATATCGGTCGCCTGGGAACTTTTTCTGAAATTGGACTTGCAACCATTGGTGAAAATGCCATGGTTACCAACCACTTAAGCCCCGGACCAGAGCAAGCTCACCTGGCCGTTTCTTTTTGCTGCCCACAAGGTATGGCAAGCAACTCGTGGGGGGTACTGGCTCATTTCAGATCCAGCTATCATTCGACTGAATCAGGACGCAGTGCCTGATTCAGTTGGCCAGTGTATGGGAATGTAAACATCGGCAACTGAGGAAGGAACCTTGCTTTGAAAGGAAGCCAGTGCCTCGTCTTTCTTTGTTTCTTGTGCCTTTCTCATTTCCCCTAAGAAGCCAAAGCAGGGTTCCAGGGGTCAATGCGCCAGCCCAATTTGGACACATACCGACATGCTTTTCACCGTTTTGGTGTTTTGTTCCCCAACAGCTGAAGGCGTTGGGGTCTCAGCCCAGATAGGCTCCGGGGTCCGGGGCGGCTCTGAGGCAAGGTTCCGCACCGGTTTTGCTTCGGCTGACGCCTTAACTACAAAGCAAATCTGGACCGGGCGCGTGTCCGGGTCGGTTGTGCCGGGCCCTGCGGTTGGGGATACGGGTGTTGAGATCTCTTATTGGACGCACTGGGCTCCAAATTGGAGAAGCCCGGAAACGGCTTTTCGGTCTGGGTCTCCCTTGCTCTTCTCACTTGGGACTTTGATATCCTCGAAGGCACCCCGCCCACCCAAGCGCCGGCACACATTGCCTGAAACTTTCTTTGCCTCTTCAGCTTCCTGTTCAGTTCGAGTGCTTCGGTTCCTGCCTGGTTTCCAGAGGATATTCTTGCTACAAAGGCCTACACAAATGGAATGAGGTTGAAGGAGCCCAGCTTTTTCACGATCAGACCTGATTCTTATGTCAGTTGGTTCTGTGTATTTGGAGCAAGTCTCATTTGGTTTCTCTGCTAGCTCTTAGTTGGGTCTTTATGTGGCCCCCCAGTTTACTGGGGGCTAACCGATTTGGGTTTTGTGGAGCCCAACGTCTCGCATAGGCCATGGGTTCATGCATGCGGGGTACCCGGTGATGATCACGGAGACGGAGCACACGTGTCACTTGCTGAGAGTAAGATCGATCGGTTTTTTTTTGGTAGTGTGTGTGGACGGAATCCAATTCGCACCACTCTGAAACTATGGTTGAAACCAGAACGTTTGTTGGCATTTACAGGGGAATCATCAGAAACCAGGGTTTCTTAGGTGGTGCGAAATGGATTTCGTCCACCCACAGTATCAACCCATTTTGCTGGAACAGGTTGAGGCTTCTCAGGACTACTTTTGATGGCGGTTTTCCTTCCAATAACCATTTAGAGGGTAGTTTTGGGGATGTCACTTTTTGGACCCAGTTTTTTGCTGTAGTCGCGCCCTTTGCACAACAACAAGGACATCGTGCCATTTACTTTTGCCCTGGTAACTCCTTGGCTATCATCTAGGTCTAGGGTCAAGATACAAAGGCGGTGGAAAACAACCTTCATGATGGTGGGACAAAGAAATGGGCATTCAGGTGTCAAAATCGGTGGGACCCCAATACAATGTATCCTCTGATGTTCGGTTGAACAAACCTTTACATGGGGACCCTCAACGGGCGCCTTCCCCTCAGAGCAAAATCCAAACTGGTGTGTCCGTTTTTGTGGGTGACTTTTTCTTTTACGAGGATCGGGCAATTCTTCGGAGGGGCGCTCATGGGTGTGAGGGGCATTCGCAATAACTCAGTGTCCTCAAAATCATTCAAATTGATTTGGGGTGATTTTGGGACAGATAGTGTTTGGATGAGGAGTTGCTGTACGAAGCACGGTGCGGGGGGCGGGGGTTAGGTGGGTGTTTCTTGTTTTGTCTGTGCTTGAATAGAGATATCCACTCATGAGGATTCCCTATTGCCACGTGGCTCAAGTCTGGTGTTACAGTACTCTCAGCCTGGTAGAAATATTTTTAGGAAAGCAGGAACTGCCTATAATATTACGGTCCTCTTCAACCTCCTCGATATATAGGTGTCGTGGGACCTTTTGAGGCTTGTTGGACGGCCTTTTTTTCCAACTTCATGGGCCGTGCCTTTGGCGTTCGTAATCGCGGCCATTTTTTTGCCGCTGTCTTTTGGCAGCTCCACACGTTTCCCATGGCAATTGTGTTGTGGCGCGCTGCGTTACACTGTCTCGCCTCTTCATTGAGCACGGCCCTTTTTGGCCGCGGTTTTGGGCGGTTTGGAACAGATTCGAGGGATCCCAAGGGGATTCGCCTGTTGCCAGGGCGATGCCACGGGGTGCATGCGGCCGCTGGTTTGGGTTGTTGCCTGCGCTCCAGTGCTTAGAAGCGCTGTGCAGTTGTTGGTTTGCTTTGACTTGGGAAGACAAGGGAAAAAAAAGGCAAAGCAAGGGGTAGCAAAGAAAAGCAAAGGACAGCAAAGGAAAGCAAGGGACAGCAAGGCAAAGCAAAGGACTGCAACGGAAAGCAAAGGGCTGCAAGGGAAAGCAAGGGACAGCGAGGCAAAGCAAGGCAGAGCAAGGGGAAGTGAAAGCAAGGGAAAGGAAGGCAACGCAAGGGAAAGCAAGGGAAAGCAAGGATCAGCAAGGCAAAGCAAAGGAAAGCAAAGAAAAGCAAGGGACAGCACGGCAAAGCACAGGACAGCAAGGGACAGCGAGGGGAAAGCCAGGGAGAGCAAGCAAGGGAAAGGAAGGCAACACAAGGGGACGCAGGGAAGGGAAGTGAATGTAAGGGCAAATCAAGGGAAAGTCAAGCAAGGCAAGCCAGAGCGAGCGAAAGCAAGGGAAAGCAGGGGAAAGCAAGGAAAAGGAAGGCAAAGTCAGGGAAAGCGCGACAAAACAAGCGGAACTAAGGGAGGGGAACCCGTGGCAGCAAGGGAAAGCAAGAGACAGCAAGGCAAAGCAAGGGAAATGAAGGGCGAAGCAACTCGAAACCAAGGGAAAACATGGCAGAACAAAAAAAGGCTAAGGCAAGGGAAAGCAACGGACAGCGAGGGAAAGCAACGGACAGCAAGGGAAAGCAAGGCAAAGGCAGGGAAGACAAGGGACAGCAAGGCAAAGCAAGGGAAACGAAAGCGCAAACAATGCAAAGCAACGGACAGCAAGAGAAAGCAAGGGACAGCAAGGAGAAGCAAGAGCCAGAGCAAGCGACAGCGACGCTAAACTAGTTGGTTACGGGCGCACAGGGCGCCTGGTAGCTTCGGGCCCGCCAGCTTGTTTTCCCCAGTAGCATGGCGCGTCAGATGCGCAATGGCTTCCCCTATGAAGCATCACGAACTACTTGGATTTACATATCTGGCTCAAATGTTTCAAAAATTGCTCAGGGCTCAGGTTAATGTCATCCAACAGCGACCTGCGCCAGGCCCACTGAAGGGTGCGGCGTCGCAAGTGATCATTCACAGTGCTTCCATGGCAAGTCCTTTGCTTGCGATGAAGGCTTGGGCTCAGCCATTTTTTCAAGGTCAACGGTCAATGCATTGCGTTCCTGCTTTGGAGGAGGTGCCCTTGGGCACTTGTATTCGGAGATGTCCCTGCAGAACTCCTTCCGTTGATGTGAAACTTGCTGGCACTTGCAACCCAAAGTCTTTGCTGCTTGGGGCCATGCCCGTGCTCCGTCAGAGTGCAGCGCACGCGGACCGGAGGTTGCTACTCGCTCAAGCAAGCGCGAAGCCTTGATGTCTTGGTAGCTTTCCGGAGGCGGGCGGCTCTGTGGGAAAGCAAGGAAAAAACAAATGATTGAGCTGCATCAGTTGAGGCACCTGAGGGCGAAGAAAAGAAATGGCCATGGGTCCTCCCCGTTGTTTCATTCCGAGCACTCGTACATGTACAGGGAACGCCTTAGGTCTCTCTGTGTTCCGCTCAAGGACCTCCAGGATCTGGTCGGCGTAGAGCTTGTTGTCTGCCTTTATCCAGAATCTTCAGAGATGTTGCGTCACACTCAATGTTCTTCCTTAAAACAGCAGTGGAGCACCACTTCTTGCCCGCATCTGCTTCCACGGACACCAAGCTTTGCAGGAAATGATGGGCCTGCGTTCGCCCAGTGTTGCAGCTCTTCATCAAGTCCTCCACAGACAAGGGCTGTCGCAAATTGCTGACGCAGTAGGACCGCAGGAAGGAGACCAAGTTGCGGGGCTCTAGGCGAAGTCCACTGAAGATAGAGAAGTCCAAGAAAGAGACTCTGTGCTGACACTGCCATGACTGACAGCGCCAGTGCCAGAACGGCTGTCGTCGCTTCCTCTGCATGCAAAGTGGGCCGTCCACTTTGCCATCGCTGCACCTGGAGCACTTCTTAGGTCGCCTTGCGAAACCTTGTTGGAGAAGCCAGCCCTGTCTTGGGCGCGTGTGTTCGAACATCCTTGTTCTTCGAAGCAATGCTTTCCTCAGCTTGCGCTTCAAGGACTGCACCAACTTGGCACCAGGGTAGGGGCAGCATTCCAACCTGTGCTTCTGGCTACACGCGTTTTGACGCCGCAAAGGTGTCACTCGCGCCCTGTTGCGCCAAGGAACATGTAGCGAAGATCCTGGTACTGAAGCCTAGTGTTTCCCGGCAGCTCCTGAAATCTAGACATATCAAAAGCTCGAGAGCCCCAGCAGACTCGGTCTCCCGTGCGCAAGTGCTTCAGGAACCAACAACTGCACATGAGTCGCATGACCCCTCTCTTGCGCACCAAGTAAGGCCTCAAAGAGTGCAGGCACCTGGGACAGCGCCCCCCATTTTGCCGGCTTCTGCAGATTCAATCTCATGCGAGGGCGGGCTGGAGGCGTTGCCGGGGCTGCAGTTGCCGCTGCCTCCTCCTGCTGCAGCTTCTGAAGCGCCCATGGTGGTATATGAATGGCCACAGCGCCAGAATCCCTGCAGTGCATAGCATCTTCCTAAGCATCCATGCACCAGTCCCGCATGTATAGAGATTCTCGCACTGACTCTTCATTTCAACGTGTTGATCTTGTGTCACTAGGCCAGCGTTTGCCGTGTTGTCTTGTCTCTGCCGCAGGTTTTTCGAGTAGCCATCCTGTCACGCATACACCTACGATGTTTTGTTCGAAGCATGGAGGCGCACCCTGGCGTTGACCTTGACGTAAGTAGCATGCAAGCATTGTTCATGCAGGATGTTCTTTCACCTCTGACTTTCAAGACAGCCGCCATGGACTGTTATGGATACGCCGTGACTTTGTCTCTGCTGATATTAATTTTCTGCGGTCGGAGTTACCGCAATGCCCTGACCAGTGCCAGTCGCTGGCGAAATTTTGGGAAGTGGCCTTGAGTGATTTGAACGACCACCAATACATCTTGTGCCAACATGCTCCGATGGGTTCGGCAGAGTCACACACAGCGAATCATTTTTGAAAAGGAGCATCTTCGACGTGCAGGGTCTCTGCCCTTTACTAAATTGTTGCAGCATGGTCCTCGCTTACTGCAGCTGTTTCTACTGTGGTTCCTGTTCAAAGGTCTTCAGGAAGGAACGGCAGCTACTGCTGTCATTTTGGTGTCTCGTTTGACCCGACGGTGGGGCTCCTTTATTGAGACCTGCGTTACCCTGGGTGCATGAAGAGCTTTCTTGGTCGCAGTTTTCTGCCTAAGCCGTTTGCTTTGGGAAACCCAATTTCCAGGGCTTTGCCCTGTGTCCCCTGTCCTTTGAGTTGCTTCGCCTTGTTTTCCATTGTTTTCCCTTCCTTTCCCTTGCTTTCCCCCGCTGTCGCTTGCTGTGCTTTCGCTTGCTCTGGCTCTTGCTTTTCCTTGCTGTCCCTTGTTTTCGTTTGCTTTACCTTGCTTTCTCTCGTTATTCCTTGTTATATTCTCTTTCGTTTGCTTCCTTGCTTTTTAGGTTCCATTTGCTACAGCTTCACCTTTCACGAAGCAAGCTTGCTTTGGAGTTTTGATTTGTCCTTTTTTGAAAGGTTTGTGTTTCTTCGGCATGTTGTTGAGTGTGTTTGAATTGTCCGGCGTTGCTTTTTAATGTTTTGGTTTTGTCCGGCATTCTATTTTCTTTGTTTGAATGATTCTTTTTCCGGTGTTGTTTGATTGTGTTCGATGTTTGTTTACATTTTGTGCGTATGTTTTTGAATGCTGTTTTGCGTAGTCTTGGACTGTTTTTTGTGTTTGTCAGTTTTGTTCTCTTGGACTGTGCCTCGGCGTTTTGGCATTCTGAGCGGTGCTGGCACTGAAAGGAACCATGCCATGGATTTAACTTTGCTATTGTATACTGCAACAGGCCGGCACCAAGTGGTATGTGTTTGGCAATTGGGGGCTGACAAAAGAAACAGCAACAGAGAACCATTTGAGCCACGGTCCAAGTCACGCACCTGGATGCCTGTGAAAAGCGTGGGGCAGCCAGCGCTCCCTCTTCTTGCAATATTTCGGCATCAAACAGAAGGAAATTGAATGAAACAGACGTATTTAGAAACCATACTGTTTCTGAATGAGCACTGGTTCTCTTCAATGCTGGAAAACAGCAGCTTGCATGATGACTAGCCCTTTGAGCACTGGCCCCAGACATCATAGACGATTTTTGTGGTTTTAGATTAGAAGGAAGCCAAACGGAAGACCGCAGTTTCAGGGCTCTACAAAAAGACAACGCAACCGAATTCTTTCGCCCAACGAATTTTGGGGGCTGCAGGCGATAGTTTGGTGAATTTGGACAATCTCAAGAGTGTTGGCTCCTGGGGTGTCTTCCACGAGTTCGGGCACAACATGCAGGAGGGGGTTGAGAGGGATCGAATCTGCTTATGTCTCTTATCTTGCCTTAAGGCACCAGGGTCTGGTGTCCGAAAGTGGCTTATTCTCAGGAGCAACCCGTTTTTGGTTTGGTGAGGCTTTTTGAAGGGGGGCACAAAATATGGGTGCTTCATTTTCGGCAAGAGTTTGTCCCAAAGTAGGTGCACCATACAGACAACTTTTTCCCCCTTGGGTTGGCGTAAGCACACACCCACACGACACCACAAGGAAACAATTAGTGTCAGGCATAAGAATGTGCTTTGGTCTTTCTGACCCTGTTACTTGGGGTTAGCAGCTATCCAAGTAGCCAGCCAGCCAGCTGAATGCTTAGTTGCGTGGCTGGTGCTTAGCAGATTGCAAAGCGCAAGCGTCACCCAGTTGTTGCTGGTCGACTTCCCCAACCCCCGCAGAAGGTTCCGCGGGCAACAGATCAGCCTCGACCAAGTTTTTGAGGGTCGTTTCTTTTCTGCCTGTCATCTCCAAGTCCTCGTGATTTTGACACCATCTTTGCTGGTGCTTTTCATGCGCCTGGCATATATTCCTTGAAGAAAGCGCAAATAGATTAGTTACAAAGCCACGCAAGTTCCTTCACAACTTGCTTTGATAAGAACAGACTCCCAAAAGTTGTCTGAAGGGGGCTTTCACCAATTTTGGCTTACCTTTTCTTTCCCTTTGCAGGATTTTCGGTCCCCATTTTGCGGCACAAGATTGGTGGATTCTTTCGTTAGAAAGAGCGAGAACGCCGGTTGACAAATAGCCTTCCAGCGTGGGGAGAAGCTCCCGATTGGCCCGAAACTTTCTGGGGCGGCGGTGTGTGGGTGAGGCAGGGGAAGGAATGTCCGCCCTTGTTTGCAAGCCAATTCGATTCAGGAGCAAAACTGGGTCTTCGATGGCTCTGTGGAGGTGTCTGTGAACTTCTTCACCTTGCACGCCATGGAGAAGGTCGTTGGAAAGGAGGCCCCGGCCCGAGGGGGCCTCTTGCGTGATATCCACAAGGCCAAAGAAGCACGGCCAGGTTTTGTACACTTCCTACTCCGTTTCTCTCATCCAACAAGGTGACAATGGTTTGCGACTCGAAACCTTTGATTTCTACCCGGGTAGCGATTTCAGGGACTCCCGCAAGACACCTAGGGAAACATGTTGGCCTTTTGGACTTGGGAGCTCCAGTTCCCCATGGACTAAGCGGGGGTCTCTCACGGACGAGGAGCAAAGAAGGACTAGACCATTTAACTCTAACTCTTATAGCAATTCATTATCAAGCATAATTTCCTCTAGAGGGATTCTTGGATCTTCAATCTTGAATCCGGGCAGGCGAACTTTCGGTCAGTTTCATTCGGTTTCTTTCCTGGGGGGGGGGGAATGGAGATTCAAGATTGCAGGGACAACTCTTGAGTCCGGGCGAATGAAACTCACTTTCCGAGCTCCTGGATTTTAATTTGTTTGGGACCATGTTAACGGTAAAGCTAAAGTTTGGACGTTTCTCGAGCAGTCCACTCAGGAAGTGAGGAAATTTCGTTAACGCCACGTCTTGTGACTCTTTTCTCTTTGGTTTCGTCTTGTTTCCATTTCCAGCCAGCATGGAAACAAGAACATCAACAGCCTCTGCGCAGCCCCTCCAAACGCGCAAAACGCAGAAGACGCAGTCGCCCAGACCTTTGACCACCCCCTCGTGCAGAAGGGCCTTGCGAAGTTCGACAACTTCAAGAAGGACGGCAAGCCCCGGGACCGCGGCCCGGTTTCGGGAAAGGCTCCGCGGGCTTTATTTGTACCTCACAGGTGTCATCCTTTTTGCCCGGTTTCACCCTTCTCTCTTGCCGCCCAGGGTAGATTTGTGTACGGGGGGGGGGATGTCGGTTGATGGGTGTCATGGATGGCTTGTTGGTGGCCTGGCCATTCGCTATGCTGTGACCCCTTTCCCAGAGCTGTTTTTCGTCCAACGTGTCCGTTGTCGTGAAGCTTGGTCCGGGCCTGGGGCAGCTTGCGAAAGCGCTTGGGAGCTGCCCGCTCACGGTCTTACAGGTAGTTTAGAAGGAACTTTCAAGGCGCTGGAACTAGCTGAACCATTGCTTCCCTGCAACACGTGAGCACGCGCATTAAAACGAGAAACACAATAAGTAAAACGGTCAATGAATAAATGAGTAGGGAAAGAGAGCAAGTAAGACAAGAAAGAACGCCAGCCAGAAGGCAACATTGGAAGAAACAAAATAAAGGACGAAAGAAAGAAATGGGTAGTTGAGCAAATACATAAAGAACAACATAAATAACGGAATTAAATAAATAAAGAAACAAACAAAGAAAGAAAGGGAGCAAGAAAGAAACAACTGAACAAAGAAACAGCGAAAGGAAGCAAATAAATGCATGAACAACAAAAAAGAAAGAAAGGAAAACAGGGAAAAACGAAAGAAGGAAATAACGTTAGACATAAGGACTTTAAGAAATGAATAACAAACAACATAAGTAAATGCAGAAAGAAAGAAGGGAACACGAAAACATATAAAGCAGCAAGAATGAACGAAAGAAAGACCGAAAGAAATAGCAATGTAAAGAAAGAACGAAATAAACAAACAAAGAACGAAAGACAGAAAAATAAAGAAACAAATGGCAAAAAAGGCAAGAACACAAGAAATGAATAAACAAAGAAAGAAAGACAGAAATAAATCATGAATGAACGAAAAGAGAAGGAAACAAAGATAGAAAAAATAGGAGAGACCTAAAGAAATGAAAGAACACAAACACATTGAATATAGAACTACATAAAGGAAAGAAAGGACAGAAAGAAAGGCCAGAAAGAAAGAAAAGCTGGGGAGATAAAAGAGGCCAAGTAGATAGCTGTATAGGCCGACAGAAAGTCAGAAGGGATGCTGTCTTTGCGAAGCGTGCCCAGGGGTTGTCCAGCAACTCAACACGGGGACATCGCAGTCGGTACACGTTTCCAGCCTCAGTTCGCAAAACGAAGCTTCGTTTTGCAAAATCGCCCACGAAGTACACTTCCGGGCGATCGGAAAATCACAGCAGTCAGTACGATGGTAGTGTGCAATTTGCGCTTTCCCAGCCCCGCTGTGACGTTCAGTACGAAAGTTACCTTTGTCAGCCCCAGCTCGAAATCGCAGCCTGTCGGCACAAAAGTGTGTGAAGTACATTTTTTTTGGCTGTGGCTCGAAGCCGTCGCAACTTATCAGTGCGAAAGTAGCGCGCGAGGTGCGTTTTGACAGCTCCAGCGCAGCGCTTGAATGGGTGGTAATTGAGATAGGTGCGTAGGTGGAACAAAATATGAAGAAGTCATAGACGGATCGATAGATAGCTAGCTATATACATATAAAATATGTAGGTCAAAAGAGAGAGATAGTCGAAGTGAACAAGTTGTTGACGCAAAGATACTGTAGCAACCCATGACTATGCAGACAGACACACAGACGGATAGGTACATAGATAGGCAGATAGGTTGACAAACTGAAAACGAGAAAACACAGACAGATAAATCACTAGGCATAGACAGGCGGCTAGATTAGCTAGTTAGATAGAAAGGTAGATGGATAGATAGGTACAAAGACAGGTAGATAGACAGATAGATAGATCGATACATTAGATAGACATACTAATCAGACTAGACTAGACAAGATAGACAGACAGACAAATCGATATGTCAATTGGCAGGTAAAATGATAGGCCGCAACATACACAGATAGACATGCCAGTAGCTTTGGGCTCGTGGCTTCTACCGGGCTTGTTTTGTGTTTTTCATTTCACTTGCGTAGCCTTTGGCGTACTTTCGGGGAGTTCACCTTCAATCACCTTTTTTGTTTCATGGTGAGTTTTCCTGCGCACTTTTGCAAGGGTCGAGCGTCAAGAACTCAGTCTGTACGTTTGCGTTTGGAGCCGTCCTGGCGCTGTCAACTACTCGTTGCTTTGCTAGTCTCGTCGGCCCAATTTTGATCCGTTTGGTTTGCGCAGATGAAACAAACTCATTTCCGAAGTTGGTTCACTGTGAACTAGATGACAGTAAGCTTTTTGACCTAACTGGCAAACGAGTCAACTAGATATTAGATAACATAGTTTGTTTGTGATATGCAGGAGGGCTCTTGACAGTACTGTTGTTGACTTGTTGGAGCCCCTAACTTCCTACTCCGTTTACGTTTTTTGGCCGACTAGCACGAATAATGTGGTTTTTGTAGCTTGCGTTTCAAAAATGAAAGGGGACAATCCGTGTAGGGTGCCTGGCTGCAGTTGGAATATGTGGTATATTGCCTCAGATACGGGGAATACAAGGTGCTTTAAGCTAGCTAGTGTTTCTAAAAAACCGGTAATGTATTGTGGGCGGAATCTGCAAAACACACCTTAGAGATAAACATTTTGAAGCTTTGACGCTTCTCCTTGGCTCGGGAGTTTTCCCTTTTGAAGCTCCAAGTTGTTGAACATTTGGACGCCTAAAGAATCCAGCTCGGGAGCCCGGCCTTCATTTCCCACTCGAAAGCAGGCAGGTTGTTTTGAATCTTCATATTGTCTCTTTTGAGGGTACCCATTTGGTGTTGTTTGAACATGGAAACCAAGAGGGCAACCACCCATTTTGGAGGTTCCCCTATTTTGAGACAACCCCGTATTCCAAGTGCTTCGCCACTGTTCCGTTTTGTTTTGCGCAGTTGAAGATATGGTTCCGAAGTTCTCTCAAGGCGTGCTGCCTTGTGAGTTACCCCGGCCAAATCTCAACCGGCACCTTTGTGAGCGGCCCCAGTTCGGCGGCAACATGCTTGTAATCCTTCATCCCCATACTCCTGCACTGGACAGCCTCAAATCCGGGTGTTTAACGTTGGCTTTGGTTTTGATTTTCACGGGGGCCTGTAACCCTTGATGTTCTTTGGCGCCCCTTGATGTTCTTTGGCGGGGTGCAAAGCACATTGCCAGACATGGCTGCAAATTGTTTTGTTTTGTGGCCTCTTGGTTTTCCATTTTTCTTGCCAACAATCCGTGTTCACTTGTTGCAGGGGGTTGCATCGGCCTGGCCCAGAAAAGAGGCTACGCTCGGCAGTGTATACCCCTTGCATCAAAACCAGAAGGAACTTGAGGAACTTGAAGCTCTAAGCAACCTGAATGCGGAGCTTTCTTGTTTTTCGCCTCAGGAATCCACCGGACCTTGGAGAAATTCCGGGCCCCCCCCCCCGGGCCCAAGCAAGTCGCTCCGAGGCTGGACGGACGATCCGGTGCTGGCGCTGCTGACCTTTGCGATGCTGCGGGAGAGGGAAGGGAGCTGGGACCCCTTCCACAAGACCATGGCGCCTCGGACGCCTCGGAGCGCCAGGCGGAAAAAAGTTGAACGCCAAGAGGGGTTCCGCAAGGTTGGGTTAGGACTCCCGTTTTGAAGACACATCCCCGCCGCGGGAACGAAGTCTGGTTGGTTTTAAGGGGATAAAAATGAATAATGATGTGTGTGTGGCGGTCTTTTTTCTGTTTAAAGGAAGTGCTTTTGGCTGGTTGTATGTAAGGGAACCAAAAGGAGACCACAATGTTTTTGGGGTCCCATTTTAAGACACAACCTAAGTGAAAACCCCTTCTGATTGGTTTAGAGTGGGAAACGGAACATAGGTGTGTATATGGCAGTGTCTTTTTGTAGGAATTATTTTTGCAGGCGTTTAACTGAAACCACCAAAATCCACGTTCCATTGTCGGATTACAAGAGGTAAGAGAGAACATTGGTTTCCTCCTTCAAGTGCTTCTGCCTTCCTTTGGGAGGTATGTCAAACTGGTTCCAGGTGGCAAAGAAATGACCCTGGCACTTTGGGAACGCTTAGGACCCCCTAGATCAGAGGTTGGCGCACCATTCCCACCCAAGCTGCAAGGTATTTTGGGTTCGGCCCCGCGAGCTGGAGAGCGACACCGCCGTATGCCTCCCCAAAAAGCTTCGAAGGACATGTCAGTGCTTGAGTGTTTCGTCTTCAGGCGCAGCCAGCTTTTCAGAGTTCTGGGCTTCCCATCACTTTTCACGGCTTCAAAGGTGTTGGCTCCTGTTGTGCATCACGTAGTGCGAGGTGCCAACGAATTGAACACATGTTGGCCCTGGGATCATGACGCAATGTGAATTTACTAGTACTCCACAAGCCCGGGCCCTATGGGGGGTTTCTGAGAATAGTGGTCTCCTCGAAATTTGAGTTTCTTCTAAAATGGTTGGTTTCCTTGCGGTTTCCCTTTGAATCCCAGCCCAAGGAGGGTGTCCGCCATCTTGAGCATCCCACAACTCGTGGCGAGGCCTGGGGCCCTGGGGCCCTGGTCGAACTCGTGGCAGCTGCTTCGAAGAGCGGCTCTCGTGTTTCAGGTGCAATACCTGCAGGAGGGCCCCGAGAAGATCAACGACGACGAGGAGAAGCGGAAGTTGTTCTTCCAGCGTCTGAACGCGAACTGCTCAAAGGATCACTCAGATCTTTGGGTGGACTGGGGGATCTCCTTCTGAACAGGGGCATGTTGCTTTTTGAGGGCACCCGTTTGGGTCTCCGTGTGAATAGATAGTATGGGGGGTGTCTTCTTTATGAGGGGGGGCCCTCTGGGCGACCCCCAACATGGAGAAACACTTCAAATGATCTCCCGGTGGGGTTGGGCGCAACATGGCTGAAGCCCGATTCAGGAGTCTCTGGAACCCAGGTTTGTATTTAAACTGCAGAGGTTCAAAGAATTCATGGCTTGGCCCACCCCTGCCTCACGATCGAATTTCGGAAAAGCAGGGAGCTGGAGGAAGTTGAGGACAGATGTTCCTGCGCTTCGGTCGAAGACACCGTTCGGGATGCTCAGGGCATGAGTTTTTCGGCAACGCGCCTTTACATAGCCTTGGCTTCTGCCAGCAATGGTCGACACCTGCACATCGATTTTAACGACCGTCTAGAAAGAGCGTCTAGTGACTCAGGCCGAATGCCAGTCATATTTTTACGCGCTCGCCGCTCTCTGGGCTTCGATTTGACAAAAGAGAAGCAGCGCGGCGCGGCTCGAAGTTGGGAAGGGGTTGGGCAACTGTGATACCAGAGGCCCTTCATGGGACCCCGCCCCATACCCCCAATCTTCCTTTTGCTCGTTTCCTGCAAGCAAAATCTAAGATCTGGCCTTGCGAGTGCAGAAATTTTGCAAAGGCCTTGTGAAGAAAGGCCCAGCAAGACGACACGCCTGGTTTTGAGCCAAAGCTTTGGCTTGCGGGTGAAGGTTTCTGGTGAGGGGGTCCACCGTCGAACGGGAAACCAAAAGGAAGATGAGAACTCCCATTTTGCCGGACCTCCCCACAAAAAAGCACGAGCCAGGCTGCCACTCCTGGGCCCAATCCTTTTTTCTGCATTGGCACCCGCGGCCAAAACAAAAAACGGAGGGGGGGGGGGACCCTCTGTGAGCTCCATGAAAAAGCCGCAAGCCGCAAGCAGCAGATGGGGGAAGCTTTTGGGACGCGTCTTTTTTTTGCCGACTCCTGTGGGCCTTGGGTGTGGCTCATGTGCGTCTGCAGTATCGCTTAGGTTTGCAGGCCTTGCCAGACAAGCTCTTCACCCTCTCAGTTTCCATGGGGTTCAACCATGTTTCCCTTCGTGGGGTTTCATAAACCCCAAAATGGGTGGTTGCCACCCCCACAAAAACTGAAGAAAAAAACACCACCTGAGTTTTCATACAGCTGGACCCATGGGATCGGCCAGGAAACCATCCAGCTGCTCATGGCCCAGTTCGGGAACTGGGACTTCAACGCTGGGCTCCTCAGGGAACCGCGAGCTCACCGGGACTTGAGGGAAACACGAGGCGAAAGGTGAAAGGTGAAGAGGTCCTGTACTCGGGGTTCCATTTCTTATTTCAGGTTTTGGAGTTTGTTGTAAAAAAATGCAGATATTTTTAGGACCACGGGGGTGCGACGTCACCCATGGTGGCTTTAAAATGGGGGTCCCTAAGAAAAAGGTGGGTGAAGTAGAATGATCTGACCAGATGGCAAGTGGGTCGTTTGTCTTTGCAATCCTAGGTTCGGTTGGTCGTTTCCCTCTTAATCACCTTTTTACGAGGGTATGTTCCGTGGGGTCATGGGCTCATTGAAGTGGCTTGCATTTTGAGAGGTTCCCCCCCACATGGGAACTGTCACGGCAAAGCCCAAGCCCCAGGATATGCCCCAAGCAGGCCGCAGATTGCGGCCTTAGGCATCGAGGGATCCTTGCGGCCCTTTGGGGGTATTCGTGAAGTCAGAGCCTCTGGACTTTAGGCAGTCGCGACAGTTGCTCTGGCTCGATTCGAATGCATCACCACATTTCACACCCTGCCTTTGCTTTCAAGTCCATTCCCTACATTTGAACATTTGTCTCTGCTCTTAAAAGGCCCACTGCACTCGGGTCTCAGAGCAAAATCATGTATGAACACCCCTTCCAGGGACTCCCTGCCAACTGGCTCGGGCTTAAGCAAGCGAGATGTGGCGAACTGGGAATGTGAGAAACTTGGGAGCCTGAAGACGGATGAATCAAGCTGCCAGATTCGCCTCTGGAAGATCCCCATGCGTTGCGACCAAGAGGTTCTGGGTTCCGAACGTGCGTAGTGTTAATACTGCTCGTAAAGAAGAACAGATGTCGCACAAACTCGAGTTTTCCAATTCATTCGACGGCATCAAAGTTCATATATACAAAACAAGTTATGAAGCTGAACTTTTCGAGCGCGACGTGACATGGCAGGTTCTTGGCTCGCCTTGTCAGGCCAAAGACTGGGGTGTATGTGCCCAACCACAGGGCTAAACTCGTCGAGCTCAACAGACTTGGTCCAGACCAACACATCGACCAATCTCCAAGCTTCTTTGCCCAACCAAACACCGGTCAATGGGTTTATATCTACCGTCCAATCCCAATGCCAAAACCAGTCTACGGTCGCCCAAAGACGTGGGCCGCGGCCGTTTCGCGGTGACACGCGTCGAAGGTGGTGGGCTTCTCGGAGGTGGTGGGCAGCCACAGCCTCCGCATCATGGCGGCGCAGGTGTCGTTCGGGCACCGTGTCCGTGTTTCTCGGGCAGCCAAATGGCTGGGTTCAAAGGGGAACCAAAGGAAACGAACCGCGCAAACAAGGGGGGAAGGGGGGGGTGGGGAGGGGGGGGGGGGGTGGGTGTTTATTGTCCTTTAGAAGGAAACCAAGGGGAAACCGCGCAAAAGGCGAGGGTTGGTTGGTCTTTTTGGAAGGAAACCAAGAAAAAGGCCGCTCAAAAGCCGAAAGAGGGGTTCTGGAACATATATGGTATAGGGAGACAAAAAAAACAGCCTCACCGCCCTTGGAGTTTTCGGTTTTACATAAGGTTCACTGAATATGGGCCCGTGGTCGGGTAGGTCACTTCGAAGCCATACCCTTAGACATTTTTTGACTGATAGAGTCGTATCCACCAAAAGTCTGGCTGCCAATTTGCTTCCCACGTCCACAGCTTGGACCATGTGACAATTCCTCCAATGCTTGGGGAACTTCCAGGTGTTTCCAAGCTCCTGATATCACTTGATCCAAAACAGCTGAATGGGTGTGTTTTGCTCTAAGTTTTGCTTGCAGGGACCCTTTTGGGGTTATTTTAAAGGGAAATCAAAAGGACAACATAATTTCCCGTGTTTTTTTTTTTTTTGTTTTTCTGTTTCGGCACCTAAATGATCCGAAGTGGGAGGCTTGTGCAAGGACACGCGGTTCCCCTCAATCGCAAACAAAGCGCCCCCTCAGCTAGGAAGGCTGAGACCTGGACCCTGTTCCGCCTGTGTCCCGCACCTGTCCCGCTGCTCCGCCTGTTCCCGTGTTCTGGTTAAAATCACCAAGACATTCCCAAACCCATACGGATTATACGGGTCATTCCAGTTCTCATTCCCTGCATCTCTCGCACAAACTAAAAGAAACGAACAAAGTAAGTAATGAGAACAACATTAAAAAAAAGACAAAAATACAAAAAACAACAACAAAGACATGAGATTAAAGCAGACTGTTCCCCTCTTTCCCTGCCTTTTTCGTCCTTTTCCCGTCTTGAACCCCTAACGCCGAGAGGCTTTGGAGCCCTACGCCCAGCGCCTGGGCATCTCAGGCAGAAATGGGCTGGCCCGTTGGGGCCCCCCTTGTTCCGCACTGACCGAGTTCCGGGACTTTAGACTTGTTGAAGGAAAACCATCTTAGCAAGGAACGCTTTTTGTTTTTGTTTTTGGGCAACATTTTAGTGGTTAAACAACCACATTCGACCTTTTTTTGGGGCCATCCACTCAAAAAGCGGCTTTAGTGGGGAGGTGTCCGATGTCCGGCTTTGGAACGATCCTGGGCCCTTTTAAGTGTTTGTTGCATCGTGTGGGCCAAATATTCACCGGACTCAAAGATATGATTGTTGTTTGGGCTCAGAGGCTGAGTTATGGGAGCTTTGTATTTTTCTGGGACCAGTTTCGACAGGTGGCATGTCGGTTCTTGGTTCTTTCTGGTTTCCTTGTCCAACCATTCCGCAATGGAATGGCTCCCCGATTTTCTGAGGCAGATTGCAGGGTCTTAGAGCTGAGCTCTGGGCACATGTCAGGGTGCCATGGTACGGCCCAGGGCACTTGAAGTGAACCAGCCGTCATGACGGGTTTTTGGGCTTGGCATCGCAGAAGCGGTTCGGTTCGCCCTGCCCGGCTGTGTCATCGAGTGGTCAGCATGCCAATGTCTTCAACGCCAGGGTATGGCTTGACGTGAGACCCTTGGAGGTGGGAGAAGGACATTGGCCCCAATGGGTTTGCCTGAAGCCAAGGGTCCAATTTGGAGCTTACGGGCGTCTGGGGAACCGTTCCCGGCCGAATGATGCCGTTTTGCATACTTTTTTCGTACTTTGGAGAGGCAGGGCTTCAAAAGTACAGTGGAAACTGAAATTTGTTATGCTCTGCCTTTCCAACTTTCCATCCACGACACTTCCCTGCACTGGGAACCACCGTGGCACGCTGAGAGGGCGGCTGTTGGCTGCTGGGACACGACATCCTCAAATGCTTATGGAGCCCCGCTTTCTGCGGCGAGGGTAGAATTCTGGTGCCCAATTGGTTGGTGTCCAGGGTTTTTTTATGTTTTGTACCTTTCAATGGTTTCCTTTGGTGTGACCGGTGTTTAGGGAAATCTACTTGGGTCTTCAAGCTAGGTCATACGCCTGGCCCAGGAAAACGATCACCCCAGTCCCAGTTCCAGCCACCTGCTTACTAAGTTCTTCCATTTCCTTAGGGGTATTTGGTTTTGTTTCCCCCTGTTGGTTTTGAAGTCGGAATCTCTCACCGGACTTTTGCACCCATTTTTTCCCAGAGAACCTTGTGGTCCGCAAAGGGAGGCGGGAGCCGCTGGATCGCTCTGAAATTTTTATCCGCGCCAGGCAGCGCGGAGCCACTGAGCCGCAGGAAGTTCGGTCGGCCGTGAGGCTTCAGCCAGGGTCCGCTGACCAAAGCTGGTTGTTCAATAGACTAGGTCCCCCAGCAATTGGTGCCCTTTTACCGATTCTTCTTTGGGGGAGGGTTCCCCTAAAATAGACTACAGAAAACAAGGCTACCCTTATTCTGACCTCTCTACTGGAGGACCTAGTAGACTTTGGGTTCCATAAGCGGCCACCGCAGCTCCACTTTTTTCCCCCCAACCAGGCCCAAGCAGCAAAAAGCGATACTGTTGTAGGCAGGGGAAAGCAGCCCTACGTGGGGAGGGGGATTTTTTCTACGCAAAGAGCTCACTTTTGGTAGGGCTAAGCTTGGTTTGGCACAGGGTTGCCCGAAGCCTCTGAACAATAAAATTGCAAGGGTAGAGCATCGTTCCTTTGGTTTGTCTGAGACCAAGATTCTACCCTTGAGCACCTATAGAATTCCTCAAGGCAGTCCGTCCCCACACTCTGTCTTTGCAGCTGGACTTCCCAATCCCAAAGGATTCCCATTTTGAGACGGAGCAGTGTAGGTGTCCGGTTTGGTGAGTCTGTTTGAACACAGGTCCCAATCACATCCCCTCCAGCGAAGCTTTCTCTCAAAATTCGGCAACCCGTCCAGGAGGCAGCTATTTTTCTGTCTTCAAAAGTCATCCCAACACAGGAGTCCGTGTCGCACTGCTGGAAACAAGTATGGATAAGAAGTACCAGCTTCCCCTTGGATGTCAAAGAGGCCGCGGTTTTTGGGTCGAAAGGAGCGCCAAGTCCAAACAGGGGTAATCTTAAGAGCGAAAATTTAAGACGGTTTCCACCCCCAAACCACTACCCAAAAGCAACTGGGGGTCGGGGGACCCTCTGTATAGCCCATGCAACCCCTGGGTCCGGGTGGTTGGGGTGGTTGGGGTGGACACCATTTTAGGCTATGGCTATGGTACGGATGAAGCAAACCATAGTTTCGCTCAGGTCCGACAGAGGATCGCTGCCTAGCCTGCTGCCGCTTCGCCAGATATCGATTCGATTGCGGCGGGGAGGGGAGTTGGGTTGTCAAGACCGACAAACCTGGTCTTGCATCTCGAAGGAATCAAGACTGGAGTGAGTCTTGACTACAGACGTATATATATATATATATATACAGTAATAAAATCATATAGACATATACATATATATGTATTCATTCACATATATTATATGTGTCGATACATATGAATAGATACATAAACACACATTTGCGTGCACATATGCGTTTTGTGTCCGTACACTTGTTTATCATTCAGTAATATATGCATACCACATGTTTTCGTCGATGCGTCATGTAATCCTGTGGTGTCTTAAACATCAAGCGAGCTTGAGGATTTTCGGGTCTTGGGAGTTCGGTTTATGATGCATTGTGGGCCGATTTGGTTTGGGCCGGCTGGCCATTTTTCATGTCGCTCTGTTGGTTCCAGGGACGTTCGCTTTCACAAACTTTGCCCCCGAGTTGCACTGAGGTGAGGGATGAGTCCTTTTTTTGAAGCACCCTTCTGGGGTTGTTTCAAGTGGAAACCAAAAAACAATTTTTGGCTGGATATATTTTCAGACACTCCCATAGCGAGCCCACTGTTGTTCCCACCTTTTGCAGACGCAGCTTTCTGCCGGCTGAGGCAAAGCATTGAGAGCCGGTACCAGCGCGGCAACCCCTACCACAACTCAGTGCACGCGGCTGATGCCGGGTGCCCACAACCGGGGTGGGGATGGGCGAGGTCAAGGATTTGAGTTTTTGGCTGACAGTTTTTGGCCTGTCAAAAGCACCTCTTGCAGTGAGGGCAAGGTCCAGCAGTCGATCACGTTGGTTTCAACAACGGAAGCATTTTTTTCAGTTTAATGTGATTTGAGGCCGTGTCCCACCACAAAATCAGCGCTTTTGCTGAGCTGATGACTCGTTCAACGCAGTCAGGGCCGGACAAACCGGCCAGTAGGCCAGTCGGCCAGTCAGCGAGCTTGGCGGAAAATGCTGGACTCCACAATGCCCACGGTTGGAACGCGAGACTGGTCCGTGGCACTGTGAGAAGCAGATGCACGCCTGTCTTGTGTCTTGTGGGCTGGGTGGAGGCGGGGCAGCAGGCACCAGACTTCCAACCCCTTGAGCAACTGTCGCGTGTCAAGACTTACCAGCGATATTCGAGGTCAGTGTGGGGATTGAAAGATGTGCCCACCTTTTCGGTTTCTGGTTTTTGGCAACCATCTTTTGGTCATGGTCTCGACAACTCAGCTTCATTTGTGGTCAGTTTGGCAAGTCACGGCATCATGAAGTCTCAGAGGAATCCCCAAAAGTATTCACTGCCTTGCTGATAGCGCTTGTCACCCATCAACTCCCCACAAAAAAGGGAACCAAACCGGATTAGTGCGGCGCTTGGGGATTGATCTGAAATTGGCGTTTCAATTTGTAAGACATATTGGTCAGAGTCTGTTTTGTTGTTTTATCGTCGGATTTATTCCGCTACCAGGTACTACCAGCACCCCAAACCTGTATTCACGAACTCTGGGTTGAGTTCAATGACCCGTATTATTACATGTGACACTTGAACAGACAAGGGTGCTGTTGGGCTCCGAAGGATTCTCACTGGCAAATTCACAGGGTCTCCAACTTGTTCAGCTGAATCCACCCTGCAACTTTTCGCTGTCAATTTTTACACCATTGCCAACACCCCTTCTTGGCAGAATCACAGGATCATTTACGGCGTACCCCAGAATGGAAATAAGCAAACAACTCACCGGATGGTTTTGACACAAACAAAGCAAACGCATGATCCGAGGTGAAGCATGATTCAGCCAGGTACCTCGGGATGCATTTCTTTGGATGGGAGCGCTGGACGCGCATGTTTATGTGCCCCCTTTGAGCTCACCTGTGATGTGACGATGTGCCTCACGATTGCTTTGGGCTTAGGTTGTGAATAGCGTCAGCTACTTCCTCGCGCACTTTAACAAGCCGGGGACTCTGCGCCTTGGCCCCGCATTTGAGGGCGGAGGGGCGGAGGGGCGGCTTTGCCGCCGGAGCCGCTGGCTTCCGCTGAAAGGCCTGTTTGTCACAACAAGGTTTTCGAGAATCGGTCACCCCAAGGTTGGTGGGGTGGGTTGCTGGTTTGGATTTGGCTTTGAACCCCTGGTTCATGAAGTGGGTAAATGGGAAACCACCCTTAACCTCCATACCAACAATCCAAATCACCCACTAGAGGGAAGCTGAGTAAAGAATCAGTTGGGGCACGCTAGAAGGGGAATCCCGAAGGAGGTTGGTGGGTTTTGCGCCTTTTGATCAGTTTGGTTAACTTGTCCCCTTGAACCTAAGTCAAGGGTCTTGCCGAAGTCAAGTGCAAAGACCTGGGTGACTTGGCGCTGCCCTTCTTTGACTTTCCCTTGGTGCTCTCAGAAGGGAACCCACAGGAGGTTTATCAATTCTTTTGATCCGGATCCCTTTTGTTGTGCGACACGTGCGAGAAGCTGTTTTTTGTTGGCCGTGCCATCCCCAATGCTTGATTCAGGCGGAGTGCTTGAGCCAGCCTTGAGAATCCAAACACACACACGTGGGTATGAGTTCTTTGTTGAGGCTCGGTACCATTTTTGGGGTTGGGTGGCAAGGAAAGCTGACGCCAAAATAGGGGGCTCCCCTTATTCTGACGCCTGACAAGGGACCGTTCGGACCATTTTCTCGCCCTCGAGGTTGCTTTCGTTTGGGGGCTCCAAGGGTTTTTGGCCATTCATTTCCAGCGCTTGGCCCATGGATGTTCGGTGAATGTGGACCCGTGTCTCTTAGCAAGGCTTCAATTGCACCCAGCCTCAGACCCTCAGAAGGGTTTTGAAGAAGCAATGGCCAATGGGCTCCTGTAGCCCCTTTTTTTGGGGGAGGGGTTACGCAAGATCTTGGACCCTTGCAACTATGGTACTCAACCCAGACCTGTGGTGCCATTGTCCCGCTTTGCAGGGCTTGCCCGTTCAGGTGAACCACCAAATGCCGCTCGTTTGGTTTTTGGATTTCGTTTTTTTTTTTTTTGTAGATCCGGTGTTCAGGTGAGGTATGCCACAGGACGACTTCGTGCTTTTACTTCAAGTTAAACCCAGAAAAACAAAACAGTACGATGCAGTCTCAATGGGTGTTTCTCGAAAAATCTTGAACGCCGCTTTATGTTTTTTGCCACCAAGCACCTCCCTCAGAGTCCCACAGGAGCCCAGACTTGAAGTGGCTGAAATGGGTATGGGTCAAAATTAAGCCAACAATTGGACCGCAGGTTTTTCGTCCTTTCAAACACACACACACACACATATATATGTATGTATACATCCTGCGTGTGGATGCACAGATTGGCCACCTCCAAACCCGTTTTCTCAGGTACCCGTTTGGATTCGTGGTTTGGGATGTGAGCCGGCTCTTTTGGAGGGTAACTGGGAACCCTCTCCTTAACCACCAAGCCACCAAGCCACCAATCTCCAAACCGCCAAGTGGAGGGCTGATTTTCTACACCACCAAACCGCCGGGCTCCAAACCACCAATTGGAGGGCTGATTTTCTGGCTTCTTTTTGACATCCACGCCCCAAATGTTCGAGGTTCTCCGACCTGGAGATCTTCGCCGCAATCCTGGCGGCCGCCGCCCACGACCTAGGCTTGGGCGGGGGCTGAGCGACTCTCAACGTCGCAAATAAGCTCAGGTGATATCCCCAACAGCATGCGGTGCTCTTTTTAGTGCTCGCACCACCCCGCAGCCCTTGCAGAACCTCGTGGAACCCTGGTGGAACATTGGTGGAACCTCTCAGGGCCTCTCCGGACCACCCCGGAGCCTATCTGGGCTGAGACCCCAAAGCTTTCAGCTGCTGGGGAAAAACAAGTTTTGAGGGCTGGGTGTCCTCATTTAATTTTCTGGATTTGGGTGAAACCACAAGGAAAACCAGTAACATGGGGTTTAAGGGTGTGTCCTCGGGTCCCCTAAAAAAGATGCACCCTGAAAATTGCAGGTTGTGGAAGATTTGAAACAGCAAACGCAACATGTGTGTTGTGTACCCCAGATGTAGGCCAAACATGTTCACTTTCAGGGCTCTAGATAAACCCACCAAAGCCTTCAAGCAAAGGCAACAAAGGCCGAGCCCCTTGCCCTTGTGTGCTTGTGAGCCTTCACCCGCTGATTCCGTACCCATGGCCGCCAAAACAGAAACTGAATCGGCAGCATTGGTTTCCAACAGAAAGTCGGCTTGTAATTCTTGCTTGAATAATATAAGCCTTTCTGTTGGTTGTTCTGGTTTTAGGAATTCGTGCTTGAAACATAGAAGCCTCGGAGTTTACTGGCACACCGTCCGTGTTGTTTTGCATTATTTGCGGAACATTGGCGCAGCGACCAAGCGCTTTTGTCCCCAAACCCCAATGCTGTTGAAGTCTGTCTGTTTGCTTGAGTTTGGAGGACCTCTGGAAAAGCATGTTCAGGGTTGGCTCTTCGAACCAGCTATTTTTTCCCACATTTGTTCCAAGCCTTCACACACTTTTTTGGAGAGATACTTCTCCCCACCCTTCAAAGACCCTCTGAGACTCTTCAGAAACTCCAGGCTGGCGTGGAGATCTTTTGGGGGGCTTTTGGTTTCCTAGGTCAGGCTTTCGCGCCTTTCTCCCCCCTCCTTTTAGGCTGCATGTGGTGTGGATGATCCTTTTGGGGAATATAACAGCATACCACAAAAATAGTTTTTTCTTTCTGAGGTCCAAGACCCATTGGAGATCCCCATCTCGAGGGAGCTGCTTCCCATCTACCCCCCCAAAACAAAAGAGACAAGCGAGAGCGGCTCGGCCAGGCCACGATGGAAAGTCGAGCCGCGGGGGCCCCAGACCATTTTTTTTGGCGGCCAGGGCCCTTCGCTGGGTATCAAAGTTTTCGGTACTGGCAAGTTGTGTGTTAATCTGGTACAAGCTGGGTATGGGTCTGGGTCAAAAAATTAAGCCACCAGGAATTGGACAGGTTTCAGTCCTTGTTGCCATTTGTCAGGGTTCCATGTTGGGTACGTTTTTTGTCACCCACAGCCGTATCAATGGGTGTCATCCTGTTGACTTGTTTTTTGGAGGGGGGTATTAAAGTCAGAAACTAGGGGGTGTTCTTTCAATCTTACCATCAGGGGGCAACTTTGATGGTAAGATAACCACTTGCTTTGTGTTTATCCCAAAAGAAAACTATGGGATGGCGGTCATTTTACCCAATTTTCAACGACCCCTAGTGAACACCCGGTGTTCTTGCCCTTGGGATTTGTTTTTACTTGTGGTTGGTGGGGACTTAAAGTAAGTCCAGTCAACATAGATTTCCTTGATGTGACATTGGCTCCTCAGACCTTTTGGCAAAAATACAAAAGGTGCGACCTTTTTTGCTCAGGGAAGAAGAGCAACGCAGCTGCGGGTTCGAGCACTTTGATCAAGCACCCCAGCCAAGGCGGTCGAAAGCAATGAACATGCTCTCCCCTTCGGACGGGTCCTGAGTTCGCAGCACTTGCTTGTGCTCCGGCGCCCTTTCCGCTTTCTTCGGGACTATTCGAAACCAATTGTACCAGTTTGGGATAGGTGCACCACCCATTTTAGTCTATTTTAGTGGGAATTTGGATGTTCACTGAGGGTACGGGGTTTTGACCCATGGCCAAATGGCATCCGTTTTGCTGATGGAGCTTGCCCAGCCGCTTTGGGTCTTGCCGCCGGAACTCCGCTGGGTCTCTGGGTACTGCCCTCCGGCCCTCCGCTTGGGCGCAGGCTACCACACCACCACCGAGTCCCCTTTAGCGCTGCTCTACAACGACAGCAGCGCCGGGAGCCCTGGGGCTCGGGGCTCGAGCCGCTTTGGCGGGCCAGAGCCCGGCCTGAATCTTTCGAATGAAGGGGCCCCCTTTTGGATGGACCGTAGCTGGCAAAGCGTGGAGTTCGTCTTTTTTTCTTCTTTTTTTCTTCTTCTCAACGTGCTGGCAGGTGGCGTCATTTCAGCCCAACTTTGCGAAAACTTAAGTGCTGACCCGGTCAGCTCAACAAATGTCTCCACAAGGCTTCGCTGTGCTTTTGGGGGCGAAGCAAACACGAGACGCGAAGCATCTCAATCGGAGGTTCCTCTCGGTTTTGGTTTTGCGGAGGAGCACCCAACATGATTCCGGTTCGCAGGTGAGACGTGCGCTGCGTCCAACTGAGGCACCCTGAACAAATATGGCTGTGGCTCAAAAACATGTACCCAAACGGCCCCCTTGGCAAGTTGAAACAAAGACTAAAATCCACGTAAGCCTAGCTCTTGAATTTTGAGCCTCACCCATATCTAACCGCAACTTCCAGTTCATTGAGACGTCCAGGTCATAGGTCTCTGTCAGGTCAGATTGGACCCGTTTTTGCTGGTCTGCAGATTCAGGGCGTCTCGGCTCACTAAAGTCACATATAGTTGCGAACCTCTACGATGAACCTGAAGGCATGCCTCAGGTGTCAGGGTTCTCTTGGGGTTGGTTGGTATGGACATCAAGCCCGTGGCAGTATTCGAGACGCCGTCAAAGACTTAGTGTTCCAAAGGTATCCAAGACCCACAGATTCGGAGTCTGGACCATGGCTCATTTGAGAAGTTTTCTCACGGAAATCCCACAATTGAAATCCCTCAGACTCCAACCACTGTAACCCAGTTGCCCCAGCGCCTCCTTGTTTTCCTCGTTTTGGGCAGGGTTTCCCTTGAAAGTCAACCAACAGAAAGGTGGCCTTCTTTCCCAAGGCTCGTTTGAGAGGGGCCCAGTTCCACAAAAACCAGCTGGCCAGGTGCTGGAAATGATGCACTGCTCCATCTTCTTCGCGGTGCTGCGGTCCCAGGGTAGCAACATTCTCAATGACCCCCCGGGGGGGGGGGAAGGTGTGCCTTGAGCAGAGTCCAAGTTAAACGCCAGGGGTCAGAGAGTCGCCTGGTAAAAGCAGTTTTTTTTCCCCGCCGAAGTATGCGAAGGAAGATGTGGCTTATGACGGGCGGGGCTTGAATGGGGATGTGAGATGCAAGTTGAGTGTTCATGTTGTGCAGCGTTTTGAAATGCAATGTTACCATCCACTGACATGGAACCCGACTGGAGGTTCATAGAGGACCATGTCAACGGGCCCTGTGGTGAGTTCCATGGCAACACAGGGGGAAGTGGAAGATTGTGTGGGACATTGTCTTATGTCGCGTACTCTTAGGCCAACCAACCAACCAATCAACCAACCAGCCAAACCAACCAACCAAGCAAACCAACCAACCAGCCAACCAACCAGACAGCAACCAAGATAAACCAGCAACCAACCAAACCAACCAACCAGACCAAGCAATCCAGCAACCAACCAAACCAAGCAATCCAGCAACCAACCAAACCATCCAACCCAACCAACCAACCAGCCAGCCAGCAAGCAACAGAGCAGCCAAGCAACCCAGCAACCAAGCAAACCAACCAAACCAACCAACCCAGCCAAACCAACCCACCCACCCACCCAGCCAGCCAGCCAGCCAGCCAGCCAGCCAGCCGGCCGGCCAGCCAGCCAGCCAGCCAGCCAGCAAACCAAACCAACCAAGCCAACCAAACCAACCAAAGCAACCAAAGCAACCAAACCAACCAAACCAACCAACCAACAAAGCCATCCGGGCCCCCTGCAGGTCCCGAATCCCGACTCTCCAGGACTTGGAGCACGCTGACCGTCAAGCCTTCCGCCAGCAGGCGATCAGGCGCGCGCCGGCTGGATAGGAGGATCAGCGGCGCGCCATATCTCGAGACTGCGCCAAATAATCGGTACATATTGGCGACGTGCGCGAGAACCTGGTTGTTTTTGGGGCTTCCCTTGCATACACGCCCAAACACCACATATGGAAGGGCAGAGGAGCTGATGGCTGAACCGTTGACAGGCACTTGGGTATCCTTCCAGTGGTTGGTTGGTTGGTTGGTGGGTTGGTGGGTTGGTGGGTTGGTGGGTTGGTGGGTTGGTGGGTTGGTGGGTTGGGGGGTTGGGGGGTTGGGGGGTTGGAAGGTTGGGGGAGTGGGGGGTTGGTGGGTTGGCGGGTTGGCGGGTTGGTGGGTTGGCGGGTTGCCGGGTTGGCGGGTCGGCGGGTTGTCGGGTTGGCGGGTTGGTGGGTTGGTGGGTTGGCGGGTTGGCGGGTTGGCGGGTTGGCGGGTTGGCGGGTTGGCGGGTTGGCGGGTTGGCGTGTTGGCGGGTTGGCGGGTTGGCGGGTTGGCGGGTTGGCGGGTTGGCGGGTTGGCGGGTTGGCGGGTTGGCGGGTTGGCGTGCTGGCGGGTTGGCCTGTTGGCCGGTTGGCCGGTTGGCGGGTTGGCGGGTTGGCGGGTTGGCGGGTTGGCGGGTTGGCGTGGGTGGGTGGGTGGGTGGGTGGTGGGTGGTGGGTGGGTGGGGGTGGGTGGGCTGGTGGGTTGGTGGGTTGGTGGGTGGGGGTGGGTGGTGGGGGTGGGTTGGTGGGTGGTGGGTCTGGTGGGCGGGTTGGCGGGTTGGTGGGTTAGTGGGTGGGTGGCTGGGTGGGTGGGCGGGTGGGTGGGTTGGTTGGTTGGTTGGTTGGTTAACCTTTGTTTGTTTTTTCTGTCTGCTTGGTTGTTGTTTGTTTCTTTTTGTTGTTTCTTTGATTGTTTGCTTGCTTGCTTGCTTGTTTGTTTGTTTGTTTGCTTGTTTGTTTGCATGTGTGTCTGTTTGTTTATTTGTTTGGTTGGTTGGTTGGTTGCTTTCTTGGGTCCGGTTTGGTTGTTTCTTTGTTTGTTTTTTTGCTCATTGGATCCATTGCTTTGAGCCAGTGATTTTCGCACATCAGCGGGCCGGGCTGGTCTTTGTCGATTTGCTTGACATCTGAGAGAGACACGGGCCCACCAGATTGGTCGGGGGTCCCTATACTATGCTTCCCTTTGGAGTTTAAACAGATAACTTTGGGGCCTGCAAGGTGAGTTTAGGGAACCCTGTTGCTTCTTCCCCAAAAGGACCCCATCCGCCCACTTTGAGACACACCTAGATGGTTATGAGGACTTTTTGTTGTCATTGTCATTAAACTGAGTGGTAGAGCGTAATAAGACGGGAATTGGCCGCTATCCATGTGGAGTAAACTGAAAGATCGGGACCTTGGAATGGATCTATCAAGAGACGAGCCACTGAGTACTGCAGCGGTCTCCCTTGTTTTTGTGGGGTCTCCTTGCTCTCCTGCAGGGCCCTTTGTTTCCACAGCCACATACACATGATTGGTGCGGAAAGGAACGTGGAACCCCAGAAGGAAGAGTTACTAGATGTGTCTTAGGGCCCTTTGTAATATTATTCACCCCCATTTTTTTTTGCGGGTAAGCCTCACTTTTTGCCAAGGCTCTGACTTGGTTTGATGCCCTTTGCTTTCTCAGGATGATCCTGGACACCGATCTGGCCAAGCACTTTGATCAGGCGCGGCCGAGTTGTTTTTTTGCCTTAGATGCTCCGGGAAAAAACGGGCCAAACATCGAGGCCGGCCCTAGCAGCGGGTTTTGGTGGGCCCTTGGGGGTCCAGGTGTTATTTTTGTTTTGCTAACGCTTTGCAACCATTATTCCCATGAGATAGTTTTTCTCAAACCCCGGTGAGTTTGCAGATCAGAACCTGCACCCACTTCCATCACGCCTCTCCATGCAAGCCGTAGATGATGGTGGCTGCAATCCAATGGGCCGATTGCCCTGTGTCAAACGAATCCGGCGACGGAACACAAAGTTGGGCCAAGGCGCGGTTTGGGGGTTTGAAGATGGGGCCAAGGGCCAAGGCCCATAGCTGTGGGATTGGGGTGGGAAACCTCTTGAATCGAGCGAGGGTTGAGATGCGACCTTCCTTGGGCCCCGAAAAAAGTGACGGATTTAGGCCCCAAAAGAGGTCCCGTCTCTGACTGGCCTGACAGACTTGATCTTTGCTGGCTCTTGCCAAAGAAGCGTATTGACACGAGCTATATAAAGTACACACACTAATCTCTTGTGATCATGAAATTGATTCTCAAGTACCCCCACACGCCCCATTTGAACCAATTTAGGCCAACCAGAGCTTCAAGTTTGCCAAGCTGTGTAACGGATTCAGATTGAATGGGTTCCCATCGCAAGCGCGCAAAGGTTCCTCTCATATTTATAGCATCCGATATCCGAGCCCCTATACCTGGTCAAAAACCCTGGCACCCACGCACTCCCTCTCAAACTGGACCAAACAAAAGGGGGGTTACCCAAAAGGGGTATCCGGGTTTTGACCCAGACCCATGTCGCTCAGGACTTATTGGTTTATCTTCCCCTGTCGGTTTTAAAGGGAATCTATCACTGCTGGACAAAATATGAATGGAGGATGCGTATCACCCAAGTTCAGGTCAAGAAGTTCCGGGAGAGCCACGTGGACGTGGAGGTCTACTCCCCGGAAGAGCGCACTGTGGAGCAGCGCACGGACCGGAATCGGTGGGGTGGAGCACAAATGGGTGTGGATCAAAAATAATGTTAACCTGGTTGATTGATAGGGGGGTGTCCGCTTTTAGCGGGGATTCATCACTTTTGGAGGGAACACCCGACGTGTTTATTAATCCTGGGTCAACATTAGAGTAACCGCAAAAACGGGTTGCCCTGGTATAATGGAAACCAGGACCAAAGCCTGCGATTTTATGGTGGTGTCATTTGGACCTGTACCCGAATAAACCTTTTTTTGCCTCTGTAGGTGGATGTTTGGGGGATTAATTTTATACCAGTTTAGGGGATTAATGGTATCTTAATGTAGGTTATGGGAGTTTGTCGGCATGTCAATGCGAGCGAGGCACAAGGCCTGGCTTGGCCCCTCCAGGACGTGCTTAGCTTTATGCTGAAGCTCAGCGACATAGGCTGGGCCTGACAAATAGATGCGCTGGCTTGGTTGGTTTGCGGTCGGAGCCGGTCATATACGGGTTCTGTGCTAAGCTGCACGCTCCAGGGCATGGTCGAGCTTAGTGGGGGCTGGTACCAACACCTCAGGACTCCAGGCAGCGCGCTTCTTTTTGTTTTTTGGAGGGGCTCCCTTTGAAATCAACGACTGGACAAAATCGGGGGGGGGGGGCTTGAGCAATGTGGCGGAACTATCCCAAAGGGGGGGGGCCCTTATTTCCAACGGCCAGTGGAGGTTTGGGCTAGACCTACCCATTTTGTTTGTTGTGTGTGTGTGTGTGTCTTCGGCTTACACCAGCTAGCTTGAGTTTGTACTTGAGTTAGCAAGTCCAGACTGAGGGTATTCCCCTCTCTAGCCAGCGCAACCCGAGGCGGCAGCGCGAAGCCTTTTGCCCTGCACGCGCAGTGGGCCACACGCATCAACGCGGAGCTTCTCGGGCTGAATGGAACGACCGTGCCGACCTGTGGAACTGTTTTCTCGGTTTTCCCGTGTTGGTTCCGTTTTTCTTGGTAGCTCCCAGCCATCCGGTTCCTTAGCGGTTTAGCCTTTTAGCGTTTAGTGGTAGTTTCCGTTTAACCCGCTAAAAGTTAAACTTTTAGCGGGGCATCTGAGGGCAGCCCAGTTTTGTCAAAGTCACAAGGGTTGATCTTCTTTTTCCAGCAGGCGCTTTGGGCAAGTCAGCGACCCATTCAGGCGGGTCATTTATTGAGGGGCCGCTGGTTGGGGTTGGCTTAACGAGACCAAAAGGAAGCCGGAGCCAGATTTTGAGGGTTTTCACGGGCCAAAGGGGTGCGATCACCGTATTTTTAATTTACTGTACCCCAAAGCGAAATTGCGGAGGGACCCCTTCCGGTGATCTGCATCGTTGGCCACCCAAGCCTTGATGTCGGGCAGCATCAGGATTCACACGATCATCGCCATGTTCATCACAATGTTGATCAGATGTAATGTTCATCCTCACGTTCATCATGCTATTTGACATCAGGAGGGACCCGCTCGTCGACCTTTGTTATACACGACGCTTTAACACATAAGAACAGCACTCTACACGGAACACACCACCTATCCGTGGACAACCAGGCCGCTTGCTTAAGGTTGACAAGGCAATCATACAGGCCGGGTCTTAAAGAGTCTTTCCTGTCAAACCTGAAAGGGATTGCAGGCCATCTTGTGATGGAGGGAAAGCTGCGTAGGATTGAGTATTCAAGGGCCGTTTCTGGGGAGGATGAGCTTGCTCTTGCTCTTTCCCATCCACTCAAAGGGGCGCCAATGGTGCCATCCCTTGGAGTTTCGGCAGTCCTTCCCCCCTACTTCCAGTATTGAGTGCTTACAACACACGCCTTCACGCCTAGACGGACCACAGGATGGCCATGATTCACAACAAACATGAGGATCACGCACCACCAAAGGAATTCCGCAGAGTACTGCAATGGTTTGCGAGATAAGAATAAGGGGTCCCGTGTAAAGACCCTTCCATGGATGGCATCATTTACTCCCAGGTGAACTTTGTAGATTGTGCGCACCCAAGGGATCAAACAGAAATCTGCCATTTGGATGGTGCCCATTCGAGTTTGGCTGATTCCCATGTTTGATGCTGACTAGGATGAGCAATGGATGCCTTGCATGCTGCATAGCCGTGAAGACTGCCCGTCTGTAGGGGTCCCTCCTGTTTGAGGACAATGTTCCAAAGGCCTACGCAGACAAGACAACATGTTTGTGTGTTGCGCTGGGAAGTGAACCGTTCGGGCAAGGGACAAGGCGGCCCCGCCCATGTGCGCTGCACGCTTGAGGTTCTTCTTGCAAGGTGACCTCGAACGTGAGGCACGATTCGGGCAGATCCAACCGAGTGTTTGTTGGAAGCCTGGGCTGGGATGGGTTCCAATCGGCATGATGCCGAGTTCAGATGCCTCGGAAGTCTTCCCCGGAAGAAAAGCATCGAAAGGCACAAAGCGGGGCTGGGGAAGAACTCGAGTTCTCTTCTGTGTTCCAACTTCTTGCATTATAGTTACTTGGCGCCCCAAAATCTGCATGCCAGAATGCAAGTCATGTGCAATTCGGCCAAGATACTCTGATTGTCTATGATCCTTGGCACATGGAGCTCTGAATTTCAACTACAACCACCGGGTTGGACCAACTCAATCAGGGTGGCTCGTTTTTTTTTTGAGGCGCGGAGCCCTTGGTTTTGAAGGAAGCCAACCGGAAACCCGTTGCTTCAGTTTCGGGGTTCCTTCGTCAGAGAAACACATCCCCATCCCCTGGCTGGCAGATCGGCCTGCCGTGCTCGCCCTTCTGCGACCGCCAAGCTCGGGACCCAGGGTGCTGGAAGGGGAGGTGCTTGGTTTCCCCGCACTGCACGGTCCTGGGGTTGGGGACATCTCCGATTTCCCCGAAGGAAAGTCAAATGACAGGCACAGGTTGGCACTGCGTGACCCATACAAACTCAAAAAGGCAGCCATATGATTCTCTTCTCATGGCTCTTGGCGGGGGGTATGACTTCGCAAACTGAGGAGTTTGGATGCAGACTTTCTTCGCAGTTTGTTTGCTGGTGCGGGTGTTTTCCTGGCCAGATGATCGGGTCGTAGCAGGTTTGTTGCGCTTGGTCACATGACGTATTTCCACGTCCTCTGCGAGCAGGGCCAAACGGCAGCCTACGAGTAATCGGGTCAATGCACTAGTCGTGCAGGGGCTGGGCTTTGGTCGCGCGCAATCGCCCGGCTGACTGTCCTCTACCCTCAGGAGGACAGCACCTACGTAGCTCTGCCACAGTGGCACGAGGGGGCGGACCCACAAGCTTGTGAGCTTTTGAGTGCTTCATAAGCGTTCGCTCGCTGGCCGCCCTTCCGGTTCAAAGCTGCTTCTCTCCGGTGATGTGAAGCGGCGCTACATGTCACAGTTGAAAACAACTGCTTCCACGGCACAACCCTGGTAAAATGCGTAAAGTTGCTTTGTCGACCCGACCTGCTTCCTGTCCCATAAAGCACAAGGTAAAAAAAGAGAGGTTTGGGTTGGAACAAAGCTGTTGGTCATGGGTTGGGTTCTCGCGTGTTTTGTCTCCACCCGACCTTTGCTTGTATCCATACACATGGGGCACTGCCACCAAAAGTGGACAGAGGTCATCCCGAACATTGTCAATGTTGGGGATGATCTAAGCACTTGTGTTGCGTGATGTCCACAGGGTTCCACTAGCACCACCTTTTTGCGCAGTGAGAGACTCCTTCGCTCCTTGCCTCTTGCCGAGGTGCGGAAGGTGGCTGAAAGCCAGCAGGGCTTTTACAAGTTCATCGTGAAGCCGCTCTATGCCCACCCCTCGGAGTGTTTTGTTGCCAGTTTTCGAGCGCCGATGGGCTCAAATCATGAACCACACAAAACAAAGACTGAAGTGGTGAAACGCTGGCGTTTCCCTGCACTTTTGGTGGGGTGCCCTCTTGGCGGTCTGGGCAGGTTTTGCGGCCAGACAGGCTGCTCGGGGGGAACCCACTGAGCGGTGTTTACAGGAAAATCAAAACCCATGTTGAAGTGGGTCTATGTTTGCATGGGGCACACGCGGGAACTGCAAACTTCGGCTAACTGCGCCCGAAATCCGCCTGGTTTCTTCTGTGCTTGCCTCAACGCATTCTAGACGAGATGGGAAGGGCCAATTTGCAGCTTTTGCGTCCTTGCTTCCCTTCTTGCTAAAAGAATACAGTTGTTGGCTGTCTGTGGGAAAGGGGGTTGAATCTGCTAGGGCCACGACTGGTTGAGGGGGGGGGGAATATTCGCCCCTGACCGTTAGTCGTGCCTGATGAAAAGGATCCTTTTGCCACACATATCCGTATCACCGAATCATATGTTTCTTGCGCACCCGGATACAGTTTTTAGGCTGCCAAAGTACCGTTCGATTTTGCAACTACCAAAGCGTAGCGACTTCCTTGAGTTTGAGTGTGCCACGGAAGGCTGCCTCAGCTTGTCCGCGGATCGGACCGATGCCATGTTTTCGCGGCACAGCAGTGGCCGAATCTGGTTGAACATAGACGACCAGCTATTTTTCACCTAGGGTGAAGCCAAAGCCAGCAATAGCAATTTGCATTTGGAGCCCAGCCAGGCCCTATGGTGCAACATCTGCCAGTTGCTTTGGTCTCAGCGATGTGTGCTTGTTTGCCTTTTAAGCAACAAGGTGACAAGGCCTTGCAAGGGACAGCACCCGTATTCGCGGCCCACTCGCTTCATGGTTCGCATTGGGCACCCCAACTTAGCGACATCAAGGGGACGTTGTAATCATGGCAGGGGTTTTCCGCAGTGCACCCTTTTTTGGTTGAATGGCTTTTATGACGACTCCAGGCGCCTTTGGTCAGCCTTTGGTCAGATCAGTCTGCCGTCCGCTTCCCGCTTGAGGACTGCCTGGGCTTGTTCCTCAACAGTACCCGGCTTGAGCTCGAGGTCGGGGATTGACGATCGACTTGCTGTGAGCCCGGCTAAGACAAAGAATGGGTTAGATATTGGGATGTGGTTGTCAAGAGGATGGAATTCCCAAAAATGGCACCTTGGCAAATGGAAGCAAAGACTAGCACCTGCGCAACCCCAGGTGTTGAATTTGGAGCCAGAGGCATCTTTCCCGCCATGTCCCTGTTTGTCTGTCCGTCCGTCCGTCCGGGGCGTTCAGCCTTTCTCGGTTCGCGAGTGGCCGAATGCGTTGCGTTCTGTGAGGTTGTTGGGCAGGTTCCTCTACAAAGCCAACTGGGTGTGGGTCAAAATTAAACCACCACAGGCCACAGGTTTTAGCCATTGTTTCCATTTCCCAGGGTGCCATTTTGGGTACCTATTTTTGACCCATAGCCAACTAATGTTTACCCCAGATTCCAAAAACACACCTGGTTGATTCATAGGGGGGTGTCCCCTTTTAGCGGGGATTCAGACCACTTTTGGAGGGAACACCCCCCTAATAGGGGGACAGGTTTATTATTCCTGGGTCAACACTACGCTCTTGACCACAATCTTGGGAACTACAGCGAGCTGCTTGTTTGGTTCTAAGAGTATGGTAAAACAGTGTACAGAAGAAGGTCGGCCTTCTTCCACGGAAGTCCACTGGAGATCAAAGGTCAATTCAGGACTTTCCGTAAGGGACTCGACTGTATCCGCCCACTCCCAAAGAGCCAACCAGTTTGTAGAAAATCATAAGGTCCTTTGGGATTGTGTAGGTGTTTGGAGCACGCGACCCAGTTTCCAAAGCCATACACTTGCAGATTTGTGGAGTACAATGGTGGTCTGCTCTTGGAATCTCAAATCTCAGGTTGGCAATTCCACCCCGCGTTTTGGTTTCCACTTCACGTCAAGGTGTGTGTTGCCTCAAGAGCTTCTTCCAGCTGCAGACGTCAATGGATCCAGCTATGTAAAGCAATCAGCCTAGCTGCATCCGCACAGTATGTCAGATCGTACGGAGAGGACACCTTGTATTTTTTCCGGCGGAACGGGGTTGGTCGACTTGAAGCTTCGGAGGACAAAACCCAGTCGACATATGGCGAGTGACCCCCTTGTAGCGCTTCGTGAAGCTGCCCTCCCACCAATTAGCATGGAACTTGACGTTTCGGTTCTGGAAGACCATGTTCCTTTTACAGGGGCCCCCGGTTTCTTCGGGCGGTTCTCCCGAAAAGCTTGGGCCGAAGACTGGGAAGCCCCGCCCCGGTCGGTGAGAGCCGGGCAATGAGCAACGCCAACAAGCGAATGATGCTCCGTCTGGATACGCACTGAAGGTTCATTCCCTGAACCCCTTTGATTCCTCGCGCGTCGGCAAACTCAGGACACTGTTTGCCTTGCTGGCAGGTTTCCTGGCTTTTATGTGTTATTACGGCAGCAGAGGCTGCCAATTCTGGGGGACTTGCGTTTGGTTGCCCTTCAAACACAAGGGGTTCCGAATCTTGAGCGTCAACGTTGGAGGTCCAGGCCATTTCTTTTGGTTCGGTGCAAACCACAAGGGTGGAAAGTTGGTATTGGGGCCCTTGGTTTCTTTTTCCAGGTGCCAACTCTCTGACAACCTTGTGCCGACTCCGAATAGCGAAACTGGAACTGAGCCTCGTCTTGTGTCACAGGTGTTGCAGAACATCCCCACCAACCAAGCCTTTTGGATGAGGCGTGGGAGAGTGATTCGGGTCCC